CCCTGAACTCACTATGTAGTCCAGACTAGCCTTGAACTTGTGGCAATTTTTTTTTTTTTTTTGTACAGGAATCGAACTCAGGACCTCACAATGGCGAGGCAGGCAGCAGAACCACTGGGCTAAATAAATCCCCAGTCCAAACTTGGGGCAATTCTCCTGCCTCAGCCTGCCAAATGCTGGGATTATAAGTATGTGCTACCATGCCTGGCAAGCTGTTATTTTTTTAAAGGCCTGAGGGAAAATGGGCAAAAGACTTGAACAGAAATTTCACCAAGTAACATACTGTATATGGATAACTAATACAGCACATGAAAAGATGTTCAAGATCATTAGTTATCAGGCAAATACAAATTAAAACTACAATGAGACATCACTGCACACCCACTAAAACAGCTACACAAAAAAAGAGACAATACTAAGTGTTAGCCAGAATTGTAAGAAACTGGAATTCTCATATCATACTGATGGGAATGTACGTACAGCCACCTTAAACCTCTGCCGAGGTTTCTGCCTAAGACAACTGAAAATATCCTCACAATCACACACCCATATTCATAGTAATATTCAAAATAGACAAAAACTGGAAAGAATCTAAATGTCCATCAACAAGTGGACAAATAAACAAAAAGTGCCATATCCATACAAAGGAATATTATCCAGCATTAAAAAGAACAAAATAGGCCAGGCTTGGTGGTTCATGCCTGTAATCCCAGGACTCAGAAGGCTGAGGCAGGAATCATCACAAGTTCAAGGCCAGCCTGAACTAAAAAGAGAAACTCTGTCTCCAAAGAAAAATAAAGAGGAAAAAATAGCCGGGCATGGTGGCACAAGCCTGTAATTCCAGTATTCTAGGAGCTGAGGCAGGACTGCAAATTCAAGCGTATCCTGGACAATTTAGTGACTTAGTGAGCCTCTGTCTCAAAATAAAAAATTATAAAAGGGGTGGGGATATAGCTCTGTGCAAAGGCCCTCAGTTCAATCTCAAGTACCAAAAAAAAAAAAAAAAAAGGGAACAAAATACTGATATACTGACACATCCTACAACATGGAAAAATCTGAGACTTTATGCTCAATGACAAGCCTAATGCACAAGACTACATATTGCAGTATTTCACTTTTGTGAAAAAGCAGACACATAAATACAGACACTAGGCAGGGGCTGCCTGATTCTAAGGGATAGGTAGTACACTGACTGACTGCAAACAGGCTCCAGGGGATTTGGGGAGAAATGTTCTAAAACTAGATCAGATGACAGTTGCGTAATTCCACGTTTACTAAAAGCCACCAAACTGCATACTTCAAATAGGTTAATTTAATAGGATGTCAATTATACATCAATAAAGCTGTGACCAAAAAAGGCCATAAATGATGGATGGATGGATGGGCAGGAAAGATGAAAGACAATTAGTTCCACTTTGGGTGAATCCAGTTTGGGGTATTCAAGGAAAAATAACGTAAGAGATTTGAATTAAAAAGGTAAAAAGGGTCAGGTGTGGTGGCATATGCCTATAATCTCAGCACTTGGGAGGCTGAGGCAAGAGGACCGCAAGTTTGAGGCCAGCCTGGGTCACATAATGAGTTCAAGGCCAGCCTGAATTACAGTGTGAGACGCTGTTTCAAAATACAAACAAAAGGGGCTGGGGATTTAGCTCAGTGGTTCCACTGCCTGCCTTGCAAGCACAAGAACCCAAGTTCAATCCCCAGTACCAGGAAAAAAAAAAAAAAAAAAAGAGGTAAAGAGGCCTACCCACAGCAAAGACCAACTTTCATGGTCACACACTGGTGTATGGGAAGGGATATGATCACTGGAAAGGAAACCCAGGAGAGGGAAGAGGAGACCCAAAGGGAGAGGCCAGGGAACAGCATGAGGGAAGGATCAAGTGAAAGAAACAATCATGAAGGAAACTCAAAGGAGCAGCAAAACCTGGGATGTGGACCAGGGATTTAGCTCAGCAGCACAGCACCAAGCAAGCACAAGATCCTGAGTTCGATCCAGTACCAACAACAACAACAAAAACAAAACTGGGGTGAGCAGTTTCCTAGAGATAAAAAAAGGGAGGTCCTCAGGGCTGCAAGGGCCCAAGGGCATGAGCAGCTGGAGTATGCAGGGACACCTGGATTTGGAAACCCTAAGGTCTCTAGTGGGAGCAGTTTCAGGAACTAGAACAATTTTGGTACGGGATATGAACAGGAAGAAATAAGACAGGGTTGCAGTGAAGGTAAAAGGGAGAGGAGCCACATTATGTTCCTCCGATTGCAACAGGTTCCCTTCCCTCACTTGAGGGGCAGACCAGACTCATCGGGCCTCTCTATACATACCTCACCACACACTTCACAGTGGCCAGTCTAAGCTGATTAGTTACATGGGGGACACTAAGAGGCCTAGAGGACATGGCAGAGCTGGGACCACCTCAGGGCTGCACTGTCCACACTCATATAGCCCCAGCCTGACCAAGAAGCTCCTGATCCTCACCTTCTTACCCTCCAGGTCTGCAGATGTTAGAAATTCAGGCCTTTTCTCAATGATATTAATTTTATCTTCCAAATGGTTAGCCTTGAAGATCTTAGGGGGGAAAAAAAAAAGAAACTATTTTTACTGAAAAATTGTTTTGACCCAGGGGGAAAAAAAACCTCTTGGCTGTTGTAGTTCAGGGATAGAACACTTGGATAGCACACTGTGGTCCAAGGTTTCATCGCTAGGACTGAAATCAAAACAATTCTCAAAGTTGCCTTCTCTACTTTGAGTTTTCTGGCCAAATGGCCCTGAAGCACCACTTTCTTTGCTTTGTGGAAACACCTTTTGAGGGACCTTTTACTGACCAGGAATGAGGTATTGAGCAAAATGCTATAGCAGCAACACATTTCTCTTTCAGGTACATAGCGAGATATAGCAACAGACTTGCAGTTCTGGTGGAGGTGGGTTACCCCCCAGAGAGGAAATCAAACCTATTTCTGAGAGCAAGAAATATGCTCTCCAGTCAGGCTGCAAGCAGTGACTCCCTGGGCATTGGTATCACATTCAACTCTATAGCTGAAAACTCCTTAGTTTTATGTAAAATTAAAAGAAATGTCCAAACTACTTCAAGCACAAAAAACAATGCAGAATCCAAACATTTGTTTCTACTTCAATGTCAACCCTAGAGTGCTTCCAGGCCAGCTCTTCAGGAAGGTGCCACACCACAAAGGAGGGTTCTCTATGTACCAGCTACTTTTCCCAGTTCCTCGGTACCAATGCTGCTGCGGCATGCAAAGTTACCCATCCCAGACTCAGGAAGGAAGGCCTCATACACACCCTTATTAATTCAATAACAACAATTATCACTTACCTTTTTCATCAGATTATGGGAAACTGCTGAACTCTCGACTGTAAATACCTGAAGAGAACACCATGAGCTATTACAGATGCACTTAACTGAGGAAGAAATTCCAGATAAAAACGAGATGAGACCATTCCAAGGCAGAAATCACTGACTGCCCAAACAATTGTCTCTGTTCAATACCTAGCCCCCACAATGGGTACTAACCCCAGCAAGGTGGCCAACTCAACCCAAACTGCATTAGTTATGTGGCACTACATGGCAGGCAGGAGAATCCCTAAGTCCCTGCACTAAGCACACCACACAGGATACCTGTACTTACAAAAAGTTTTGATCACAGAGCTGTGTACCTGGACCATGCAATGTCCTAACTCAAGAACTGGCCTTTTTAAAAAATTTCTTGGTTTTTTGAGACAGGGTCTCACTTATGTAGTGAAATTGACCTGGAACTCACTGTGTAGCCCAGGCTGGTCTCGAACTCACAGTGATCCTCCTGCCTCAGCCTCCCAAGTGCTGGGATTACAGGCGTGTGCCACCACACCAGGCAAGAATTGGCCTTTAAAAAGTGAAGGAGACAGACAGATAAGCTTACAAAGCCCAGTACCTGCTCTGCCCCGAGGTGATGGACCAACATTGAGAGCAGACTGCCATCACTGACACAGAGGCAGACACTGTCTGGCATCAGCACCTGTGGGAAAAATGCAGGTTCAGCACCAGTTTTTTGGTTTAGCAGATTCTTTTTTTTTTGGTACCAGGGATCGAACTTGGGATCTTGCACTTGTTAAGCAGGTGGTGGAACCACTGTGCTAAATCCCTGGCCTCTAGCAAGAGATTCTTGCTAGCAAACTGAGAAACACTTCTGATCCCAACCCCACCCACAAAGATTCTGACCATTAAATCATTACAGGTCTCTTCCCATCTTCCCCACCACCTGGCTGGATCCTCTTGGGCCTATGCAGTAACCTGATGCCTCCTTACTCATGTCTCCTCTCCTACCAGTGCCCACAGCCAAGAAGGTCCTCCTTAACCCAACTAGGTCTGGATGGTCCACTTGCAAAAAGCTTTTGACAAGTTTCTTTGCTGTCTGGCCCATGTGTTCTCAAATGATTTCTCAAAGCCTGAGTGCCCTTATGAGTCAAAGATTCCTTGGAGAGGAACTCAGGACAGCTTGGATCCTTCCTCCCGCTGACAAATGTACGCATGTGCACACATGCATATGTCTTCCTTACACAACATACAACTCTAAGGGGTCCAGAGGCACCTTCCATACTACAAATGAGGTTCCCCAGCTAAGCCCTCCACTACAGACAGCAAGGAGCAAAGATTTTCAGGCCAAAGTTTCACAATCTCATTTACGTTTTAGAACATTTCAGATAGACAAAACAGATAAAAAGAGGAAAAGGATAAGGATAGTCATGGGGCTCACCCATGGCAACTGCTGGTAACCACAAAGGCAAGGTGTCCAGCAGGGCAAGTGCAGGCTGAAGGAAGGCTCCCACAGAGATCTCACAGGAGCAGAAAACAAGCCCTTCTAAGATCTAAAACAAGCTCTCCAGCTCTCTAGTACCCACCCCACACTAAGTCAGCTGAAGCCACACAAATGTGGGAACACATAAACAAAATCAGCAAACCATAAGCTGAGTGCCAAACCCAAGGGGCTAGACACTTACAGTCCTCAGGGCCTGGGCATACTGATCAGTTCTGCCCTGATCATTGATCTCTCCAAACCGAGGCCGGTTCCAGAGCAGGTGAGCTTGGCAGTCACACACGGGGCGCATGTGTTGGACTCTCCCACTCTCTTCAGGGCTAGGCCAAGAGATAAAGACATACACAGATGATGAGATATGAGATAACCTGTTAGATACCAGAAAGCATGAGGGATGCCACAGGGACCCGCCTAGCAGAACTTGACCTGGGCTTTTAACAGGTCTCTAGAGGGAAAGAGTAGCTCTTGAGTGGATATTGAAGTTTTCATGTATGTCTGTTCCAAACGAAATGCAGCTACCTGTAAGTCTCTTCTGAGAACACAGAGATAGGTACTGATGTACCCAATCATAGACCTTTCTTATTTTATTCCATTCAGATATAAATCTGCCCACTACTGTCACTACTGGGTCTGCATATGGGAAATTTACATCAATGCACTGTCTCTAAAACCCAGGCCCCACCCCTGTGAAGTGCAGGCATACCAGGTCCTCTGAAGGCTAAACCACACACAGTAGTCATCATGGTGAGCCAACAGGCAGAGGGCTGCACCTTGTACAACAGGCTCCTCTTGTGGCAGGAAGTACACACACTGCATCCAATGGTCCCGCCACTGAAATGGAGAACAGAGAGGCAGCTGTCACCAAGCTGCAAGAGCTACACTTTTAATCCTGGGGCCAAAAGATAGGACAAATATCAGTTTGCAGGGAGACAAGGTATAGACTACAGCTGACTATTGTGGCAAAGGGATAAAGAAAAAATTTACAAATTGGAGAGGATTGTAGCCCAAAAGCTTGCTGGCTTTAGAAAGATACTATGTGGTCTTCCAGAGTGGCTCAGTAGAGGGGACAAGTGCAGGCTCCAGTACCTATACACAGAGCAACACCAATGCTCTTGCTTCAATGTGTTGGGCTATGCATCATGTTTCATTTGAAGGAAGAATTCTCTGGCTCCCAAACAAGATTTAATCATATTCCACAGGCTATAATACATTCAGAATTTACTCTTTTCTTCTAAGTGACTTCAAAACACAAAAAGTTTAAACAAAATGCATAAAACCTAACTGATACCTAGACTGGAAAATACAAAAGCTACTAAAGACATTTGAAGACAAAGCAATTTTATTTTGAACCATATATTAAATGATTTATGGAATTACTATTAATGTTTTATGTTTTGCTTATGCTAGATTGTTTTATTTTTAGTAGATGTAGGTTAAGGTGTTGAAGAGTAAAGTGCCAGATGTATGCAACCTTTGTTGGGGGGGTTCCAGGGATTGAACTCAAGTCCTTGCACTTGCAAGACAGGCGTCTGCAACTTATTTTAAAATGATTTAGCAAGAAACTATGTGTATAAAGAGGAACAGTTGTACAAAGAGAGGAATAAAGGGAGGGAGGCAGAGTAGGAGGAAGGAAGAGAGAAATAAAGCAAATGTTGATAATCACAAAATTTAAATTAAGGGAATTATCAGTTTCCATTTTTGTTTACTCTGGTTTTACAATTTTTCCAGATAAAAAGCAGAGATGATACAAAAAGGTTTATCGGGATATTCTAAATTGTGCAATATGGTTTACAGTGATTTATAGTTATAGTTATCTCCCCAGTGCTGGGGATCAAATCCAGGGCTCACGTACTGCTAGATAAGTGCTCTACCACAGAGCTACATCCTAACCCCAGCATCAGCTTTTCAGCTACGCTGATCTTTACTATAAGTCCTATATATACGGAGATACATTCACATAAATATGCATATCAAAATTATTTATACTAGCAAAAAACTAAAATGCCCAGCAGCTCATAAATTGGTATGTATATGCAGAATACTCAGACTTTTAAAATGATGAAGACTACAATACAGAATTTTTTAAAAGTTAAGAACTGACATAAGCCCATATCTGAGAAAAGGATGAATGTTCTAAAAAGTGCATGCTGAGGGATTGGGGATTTTGCTCAGTGGTTCCACCACCTGCCTTGCAAGCACAGGGTCCTGAGTTTGAGCCCCAGTACCAAAAAAAAAAAAAAAAAAAAAAAAGTGGATGCTTAGAGCAACTCTAATGAGATGTTCACTCTGTCATCCTCAGAAACTGAGGTAAACTTGGCCCTGCAAAAGTCTTAGGAAGTTGGCTGTCGGGCATGATGTCTGTAATCCCAGCATTCGGGAGAGACTGAGGCAGGAAGACTGCTGAGAGTTTGAGACCAGCCTGGGTCTCAAACAGTGAGTCTAAGGCCAGTATGAACTACAAAGACATTTAGATCTTGTCTAAAAAGAAAAGCTTGGCTAAGTTCATAGGCAAATAAAATCTGAAAGCTGTCCCACTTCTCCGGGATACATCTCATCCCATCCGGTCTTGAATATAAGAAAACAACAGGAAAATCTGACAAAAAAGGCAGGTGTCTGAAATATCTACTTGAACAGAAAAGATAGAAAATGAAAACCCAACCAGATATGTTCTAGAATAAATATACAATAATGAGAAAAAACTAGGTTTTATTAAACCTGTTATTCATTCCTATACTACACAAATTTATCTGAGGATAGGAAAGGCCTTCCCCAACCCCTCTTGTAGTCCTAGGGGACTTGACTTCCCTGTCATCCTTCCCTCCCCATATTCCTCACACATGGCTAATGAGCTGGTGACAGACCCCTGCCCCATGGTAAGAGACTAAATGGGATCCAAAGAAGTTTTGTGAATTCATAAAGGAGATTCATTAGCAGCTTTAAAATTCCTAACAGTCCAAAAGTTGTCACTGGTACAGAAAGGACACAGACCTATAATCAGAAGACCTAGGGACCAGATCCCCTCCACTCTTCCTGGACACAAAGCCCTGAGCTCACCCCTGAGCTTGCTGAGATCAAATTCACACACACACATTCTGTCTGCAGAATACCAAGGTTGCAGAGGGAAGTTGACACACATTGGTTAATGCATGCCAGTGTGGAGGCCGGCAACTGAAAGGGAAAGGGAGGCTAAGGAGTCCACAGGCCCGGCTAATTGACAGCATTCCCACGGTAGTCATGGCCCTTACCTAAACAGTAACTCAGGAACTAGGGTACAAGGGAGCTGTTGCGTGTATTTCCTCCTTGAATCTGCATACAAGACATATCAGATAACTGCAACAATACCCAAACAGAAACTCAGCAGGCTGTGTACAGGAAGCAGCAGAGGGCAGCTGGTCCCCAGGTCTTCTGACTATGGGTCTTGTGTACTTTCTCTACCAGTGAGAAGACTGTGTACACTACAGCCAGCAGTCAATCAAAATAAATGCCAGGGGTAACCCAGAGAGTTGGGGCTTAAGACTCGCAAAGGTAGAGAGGGAAGGTTTTTTTTTTTTTTTTGGCACCGAGGATCAAACTCGGGTCCTTCTGCTTGCAAGGCAGGCGGTGGAAGCACTGAGCTAAATCCCAGGCCCTAGAGAAGGTTTTATTTCTTGGCTCTGAAATATCTTCCCCACTTTTTCTTCTGTTGAGTGTGTGGGTTAGGGATTGGTAATTCATGTATGTGAGAGAAAATTCACAGGATACAAGTATGTTATGGAAAGAAACAGCTTCCTCTAAACCTCTAGCCTCCCAAACAACCATTTTTACCAATTTCTGTGAATTCCTCCAAAGATATCCTTATACATACACTACACACAACTATACACTTATAACCACATGCATTCTTACTTTACTAACACCAGTGCCGGCATATGACAACAGTTCTGCAACTTCTTTCCTTGCTTCATTTAATAATACATACTGGAGTTTGTTCATCAGTGCCTAGAGTGCTGCCTTGTCCACTGAAAGGACACAGGACAATGATTCGGTGAATCCTTATAGATGGCCTTTGGGTGGTTCCTTTTCTGTTAAGTCAGGGTCATGATGGACATCCCACATGTATATCATTGTGCATAACCTACCCAGAGCCCAAAGGTCTACTGGTGGCATCACTTTCACCAGGATGGCTGGGCCACACTGTTTCATGGATGTTCTGACAGTTTACTTCCCTACTCTTTCCCCCAGCCTCACCAACAGTGTGCCATAACACTTTATGAACTCTATTCACTAATAGGTGAAAATGTTATCTCACTATAATTTATTGTTTTCTGCTATTTCACTGAAGTTTAAAGTTGCAATTCTGAGTAATGGTGAACAATTTATCACATGTTGAAAAATAATCTTTATTTCACATTTGCTGCCCACTTTGTACTGAACTTGAAAAGTAGATTTTGAGGCTACAGAAAGTAAGGCTGCAAGGGCTGGGGATTTAGCTCAGTGGCACTGCACCTGCCTGGCAAATGCAAGGTCCTAAGTTTGATCCAGGTACCAAAAAAGAAAGAAAGAAAAGAAAAGAAAGGCAGGAAGGCAGGCAGGCTGCAGTTATCTATTCCAGCATCCTTGGACAACTTGGCAGAGGGAGCTGAGGTCAAAGAGTGGCAGTAGATGAGTAGAGAATGGTACAGCTAATTCACCAAGGTTTCCCTTGCTCACTGTGACCACTGGTGCTGACCATAAACTCACCCTGAGAGGCCTGTCTTACTACAGCTCACCTGTGCATTTAAATTAACTAATTAATTAGTTTATTTATATTTGGAGTGCTGGGGATTAAATGCCTCATGTAAGCTAAGCAAGTGCTCTGCCACTGAGCTATAGTACCAGCACCCTGCAAATTAAAGAAACAAAGAGGGCCAGAGATTTAGCTCAGTGGTTCTGCCGCCTGCCTCACAAGTGCAAGGTACCTAGTTTGATCCCGGGTACCTAGTTTGATCCCAGGTACCAAGAAAAAGAAAGAAAAAAAGCCAATGAGACATCCACGGTGGCACATGCCTATATCCCTAGCAGTTGGGAGGCTGAGAAAGGAGATCATAAGTTCTAGGCCAACCTTGGCTATATAGTGAGTTTCAGGGCTACCTTCCCACTACTACATATTAAGACCCTGTCTCAAAATAAAAAAAGAAAGCTGAACACGGTGATGCATAACTGTAATCCTAGCTTCTCAAGAGGCTAAGGCAGGAGGAGCATAAGTTTGAGGTCATGGATATTTAGTGAGACCATGTCTTAAAAAAAAAAATGGGTGGGGATATATTAGTGGTAGAACACCCGTGGATTCAATCACCAGTACTGTGAAAGAAAGAAAGGAGGGAAAGAAAGGAGGGAGGGACAGAAGAAGGGAAGGGAGGAGGGAAAAAGGAAGGAAGGAAGAAGAGGACAGATAACAGAGAGACACAGAAAGATAAATTCTTCTTTGCATTTGATAGTTATTTCTGTGTCTACATTCTTGTGATCTAAGGCTCAACAAACAAAATGGACAATCTTCCTGACTTACAAAACAATGTGCTCAGCTCCCGAGCCTCTTACCTGGAGCCCCTCTGGATCAGAGTGTGCCCAGAAGGGGGCCATGGTACACTTGATCTTCCCCTCAGGATCCATTTCAATGTCCCACCAGGAGAGAACCACCTGAGCTCGGCCAGATGCCAAAGGTTCAAACTGTCTGCTATGGCAGGCTGCCGAGCTACTGACCTGCTTGCTGAAGTCCACACTGTGGAAGAATATTCAGGAACTGAAGCACACACTCCATTGTTAAGTTTCTGTGACAATATTACCAGCAATGATAGTTGACTGCAAAGGACTCAGGTAGGTTTCCTTCCCACACAAAATGAATTTCTAAAGACCCAAATTCCATTAAATGTCTCCAAGCACTGATCACCTGGGAAGGCTTCTTGGTACCTGAACATAGGTAGCACATCGCTGAGGACAGTAAAGTCAGCAGGTGACACTTGGTTCAGCTGGATGTCATAGACAGAGGGTGCACCAGGGCACCTCTCCAGATCTGAGGGAGGGATGATGACCTGCTCTCCAAGGCTGGTCTGAACACGGACAGGAAACAGCTTGTTCCATGACCACATCCTTCTGGATTCTACCAGCTGTGCATAGACAGTTGCCCTGTGAGGCACTGCCTCACAATTTTCCTAAGTTTATATTAAAAAACAAAACAAAAGAACAAGAAAAAAATCAGGTATCCAACCAACAGTAATGACCATGGATCAATATAGGTCTACTCATAATATGAGACTAATTTAGTAACATCTACCTTCCCACTACCAGAATAATAAATTGTTTTCAGTCCTATGCCCTTAGGAAAGAAAAAAAAAGTTAATTTCAAAAAGAATACATATTATGCCTAAAATAGTTTAGTCAGACAAGTGCCTAGTTATCTGGCACTATTAAATACTTAGAAAACAACCCTGAACTGTCATCATGCTGATGAACTCCCACACTGACTTGGAAGAGTCCAAGTCTTACTGCGAAGCAGTAGTTCTAGCCTTGGACTCAGAGCATCCACTCAGAGCAGCTCTCACCTGGGTAACAAGACCAGAACCCATTTATTAAAAAAAACCCCGAAGAACAAATGTCCACCTGCAATTGACCTGACCTGCTGGCTTCACCTGGCACTGCTGATTACTCTTTCCAGTTGGCTGTGGTTGTAGCTCTTCGACAAGTTGTCCTTCTACCACATCCACTCATTTTGCATCCTCCACAGGCTGACACTAAGGACTCAGCAGTGAAGAGGATGGTCACAACTACTACTGCTTGGTATTGTGAGCAAAGTCTTTCTCTACCTCAGCACTACCAGCCACCTGAGCCAGAAACCTCCCAGAACTGAGGGATAACACAGGCTGTCTGAAGACATACTGAGGGCTGTGCTGAGACTGGTGCAGCAGCTGAGATCACAGCAACACACCCAAGCAAGGCCCAGGGTTTCCATACCTGTACAAGATGCCTATGTGCATGCTCGTAGGAGGGCAATGCTCCCTCCCCAATCAGTTCTGTGTCAAATAGCTCTGTGACCAGGATGTTGGCACGGCATGGCATATCACCATCTAAGAAACACAAGGGAATGGAATCAGAAGCAAGCAACAGGCTAGGAAAAATATTTACAGCAAATGTATGAAACATGACATACATATGTCTGCAATGACTTCTCAATGGTTCGATAACAAAAAGGCCATGTTATATATATTTATACACAAACTATATATGGAAAGCCATATGGTATGTGTATTACAATATATATAAATGATTATGTATATCTATGGGTGATGTATATATGGTAAAATGATAACAACTGATAAATCTAGGATCAGGAAAAATGAGTGCCCTCTCTCCTGCTTTATCCACTTTTCTGTTGAAGATTTCAGAGATACTTGGAAAAATCAGTAAGAAAACTATAAATGCACCTAAAAGGGCACGGTGGTATAAAGCTGTAATCTCAGCACTCTGGAAGGCGGAGGCAGGAGAATCACAAGTTTAAACCCAACCTGGGCAACTTAGCAAGACCCTTTTTAAAACAAAAAATAAAAAATGGGCTGGGGTCTGGGTGTGGTGGTACACACTTGTAATCCCAGCACTAGGTAAGCTAAGACAGGAGGACCGTAGAGTCTGAGACTAGGCTGAGCTACATAGTGAGTTCAAGACCAGCCTCAACTATATATTGAGACCTTGTCTGAAAAGCAAACAAAGAAAAAGGTAGGGGGGGGATATAGCTTTGTGTGAACCCCCAGTACCCTCCCACACAAACCAAATACAAAAAAAAAAACCAAAAAAAAAAAAAACACAAAAAAACAAGATAACTATAAACACCTAAAAAGAAAATCAAATAAAAATATGAATATGGAAAACAAAAAAATTACAAATAGTTCCTTTTTTTTTGGTACTGGGGATCAAACTCAGGACCCTACGCTTGTGAGGCAGGCAGTGGATCCACTGAGCTAAATCCCCAGCCTTCCATCTTTAATGGTAAAAATTATTTGGAAAGCAGAAACTGAAGACTGGCACTTCAAATACTACTAAGGTAACAGGGAGGGAGGACACCAAAGAAAGAGAAGTTGTGTGATGACCTTCAATCAGGAGTTCAACAATACCCACCAAAATTGAGATGTGACTTAAAATTCCTACATACTATTATATCCTCTTATTAAATTGGTATCTTTCCACAAACAATGAGCCAAATAACAGCTGTTTTAGGATAGTAGAGTGTTGGATTTATTTTTGTTAACTGTTTTCTAAACCTCTGTGACATATTACTTCCATAATTATAATTTTTAATGAGCCAAGATGAAAATAGGCTTTGGAAAGGACTAGTCATCATAGAGAATTAACTATAAACATTTCTAATGGCTCATGAATTATAATCTGATAAAGCCCACTCATCTTCCCCACACAGAACAAGTCACATAAATGATGCTAGAAAAGAGAAGCACTGAAGTGGTTCAGGGAAGGGAATAATAAAGAGAGCTTGAATCTGGAGTCCTTTAGCCTTAGCCTCAATCCCTTTCTGTCCCTAATCCCTGAATTCAGAAGTTGCCTCATATGTAAAAGGGAGGTAACAAGGTTTGTCTCACGTGGTGATAGTCAAGATAACAAAGGTTAAAAATGTACCCTCCCTACACTTGTGAATTATAAAGAGAATGTAAGGTTAAGAAGGAACTTCCATCTCCTGGCTTAGAATCTCAATTGGGCCTGCCCATCTTCTCTAATGTCATGCCAAATCCAACTGGAATACAGTGTTCAAAATTGCCCTTCCCCACTACCACACATCTGCTCCTCCCTATGGTGTTTCTGCCTCAGTGAATGGCACCGTTAGTCACACTGCCCAGAAATGGCATCATTTACTAACTTCGGGAGAGCAGGGATCCCGCCTGCCCTCTTTACCATCATACACCAGTGCCTAGAACAATGCCAAGTACCCAGTAAACATCAGTCAACAAACACTAGCTGAATTCTTCTTGATTCTTCCTTCTCTGTCATCCTATAGCAAATCAATCAAGCCCTGACAACTCCATCTCCTGGACAATTTTTAAGCCAATTATGTAACAACATGATTTATTGTCCAAATCTGCCTCATTAAAATAAAGACATAGCCTTAAGACCAAGTGATCCATTGATTGTTTAGGAGAGTGTTGTTCAGTTTCCATGTGCTTGTGAAGTTTCTATAGTTTCTTGTGCTATTGATCTCCAGTTTGATTGCACTATGATCTGATAATATACAGGGGATGACTTCAATTTTTTTGCATTTATTTAGACCTGTTCGGTGAGCCAGTATGTGGTCTATTTTGGAGAATGATCCACATGCAGCCAAAAAGAATGTATATTCTGATTTTTGGGGGTGGAATACTCTATAAACATCTATTAAGTCCATGTGTTCCAAAGCTTGGTTCATTTCTATTATTTCATTGTTGATTCTCTGCCTAGATGATCTGTCAATTTGTGATAGTGGGGTATTTAAATCCCCCACTACAATTGTATTAGTGCTTACTTTGTTTTTCATGTTACTTAATATTTGTTTTATATAGTTGGGGGCATTTATATTTGGTGCATATATGTTTATGATTGTCAACTCTTCCTCTTGAATTGTTCCCTTTACAAGGATGTAGTGTCCTTCTTTGTCTCTCTTAATGAGTTTTGGTTTGAAATTTACTTTATCTGAGAATAAGATTGCTACTCCTGCTTTTTTCTGGGCTCCTGACGCATGGAGAATTGTTTTCCATCCTTTCACTTTCAGTCTATGGACTTCCTTTTGCACTAGGTGTGTTTCTTGTATACAACATATTGTTGGATTTTGCTTCTTAATCCATTCTGCCAATCTGTTTCTCTTGATTGGTGAATTGAGGCCATTAACATTGATGGTTATAACTGATATATTTTGACTTATTCTTGTCATGTTATTGTCCTTTTGTTGACTCTTTTTACTTTTTCTCCCATCTCCTTTTAGTTTCTTGCCTTGCCTATTTGATTTGGTCTGTTGGGCCTCATGTTATTGAGAACTTCGTTGTCCTTTTCTAGGATATTGTTTAGAATTCCTTGCAGTGCTGGTTTGGTGTTCATGAAATTTCTCAGGTGCTCTTTGTCGTGGAAGTATCTTATTTCCCCATCTATTTTGAAAGAGAGTTTTGCAGGCTACATCAGTCTAGGTTGGAGGTTCTTTTCTTTTAGGACTTGGAATACCTCACTCCAGGCTCTCCTTGACCTAAGGGTTTGTGTTGAAAAGTCTGCTGTGATTCTAATGGGCTTTCCTTTGCATGTGATTTGTTTCTTTTCTCTTACTCCTTGTAGTATTTTGTTTTTCTGTTGGATTTCTGATATCTTGATTATTATATGTCTAGGTGTAGATTTTTTTTGATCGTGGCTAGTTGGAGTTCTATATGCCTCACTTATCTGTATGTCTAATTCTTCCCTTCTGTTTGGGAAGGGAGGGCAGAGGTAAGGGGAAAAAATGAGAATCAAGACTTGTCATGTAGAGGTACAAGATCCCAACAATGAATGTAACTGTACTGTATCCCTAAAATGTACCAATAAACTCAATTAAAGCTGAAAAAAAAAAAAAAAAAAAAAAAAAGACCAAGCGAATTTTAATAAATATTTGAGAGCCTGGCTGGCATTCAGTGTGTGAGTGCTAATGTGTGAAAGGCAGGAAGCAGAGTCTGAAAGGGGCAGACTCATAAGTCTTTGCCAAATGAGTGGAATGGATGGGGCAGCAACTGGTGATACACATGGTCAGTGTGTAACCCATTAGGCCACAAACTTAGATGCCTTAGAGAATACACATTTGGGAACAGAGAGAAAGTACTCAAAAAGAACCAAGAATGGAAGATGCCACTAGGACCCAGAAAGACAAAGTTTCAAGACGGAATGAGTGACAGAAGTCCCAACACTGCAATTTCAGAGAAGGAAACAGAAGACACCATCTTGACAATGAAGAAGTCACTTGTCAAGATGGGATAAGAAACAAAGCCCCTTTAAAACCGAGTTACAGACTAAGCAAGTATCTCTGAAAAGTAACAGAATGAAATGATTAACAAGATCTACACAATCAATGACCCCATGTCTCAGCTGTATCGGACACGAGCATTAAATATACAATTATGTAATTATTTAGTTATTGCAGGGGTAAGTGTTCCAAAGCAAGGTATGAAAAACAAACGAGGGGCTTAAGCCAGGGTGTGCGTGAACAATATGGGCCGTAGGAAGCTGGTGGCAGAGTTATGAGGACAGTTCTCTATACAAAGGCTCCCTTTCAGGTCAGTTTCTGGGTCACTGAGACAAACTTTCTAAGGAGAATGTTCTCCATTTTGGGCCATAATGGAGCACAAAGGATCAAATTTATCTGCCTGCCATTATCAACTAGGATGCTGGGCAAAATAAATGAAGCAACACATATCATTGTCCAAGAATGAAATGAACCAAGTAACGCTCACTACTGCTTTTAGCCAGGAGGCATTTTCCAGACCACCATTCAGGGGCAAGGAAGGAAGTGGAAGAGAGCTAGCTGTCTGGTGAGCTACAAAGACAGAAACTAGAGTCCAGGAAGTGGAGGTGAAAGAGGGAGCCAGATCAGAAGTAACACAGAAAAAGAGCTTAAGAACCACAAATATGGTTTCCTTAAGTGTGTGGTTACACATATAAAAGGGAGCTCAGAGGACTCAAAATCGCTTCAGTTCTGATCAGCCTGTTCTACAAAATCTTTGCTGAGGGCCTCAGGCATCCAGCAGAGACATGAGCAGTCATGCCACAATAGTTTGACCAAAGTAGACTTAGTACAGTAGCTCTTGTTTTTGTTTTGTTGTTGTTGTTTTCCAGTACCGGGGATATAACTGAGGACCTCGTGCTTTTGAGGCAGGTGCAGTGCCACTGGGCTAAATCCCTGGACCAGAGAAATGGTTCTTAAGACATGGCACTTTTGCCCTGCCACACCCTCTGGGACATTTGAAAGTGTGTGGAGACATTTTTGGTTGGCACAAATGATGGTGGCAAGGACAGCGCTCCTGGAATCTACTGGATAGAAGCCAGGGACACAGTATAGTAATCTCACAACAAAGATTTATCAGGCACAAAATGTCCGTAGTGTTGCTGCTAAGAAATCCTCTTTTAGACCTACTTTAACCTGCTCCAATGAAACTTTCAAACAAACTTTGAAAGAATCAAATTGAACTGCAAATGACCAACTGCATGCCTGAATTTTTGAAAGACAACAAAATCCAGCCCTCAATAATGAAAAATTCCCAATAACCACAGCATCTGAATAAAAATCACCAGACATTTGAAGCAGGAAAATATGACTCAGAGCTAGCATAACAATAGGATAAGGGCCGCAGATTTAGCTCAGTGGCACCACACCTGCCTCACAAGCACAAGGCCCTGAGTTCGATCCCTGGTACTACAAAGAAAAAAAAGTTAATAGAATAAAATAAAAAAAAAAAAAAAAAAAAAAAAAAAAAAAAAAAAACTAATCAATAGAACAAAATCAGAAGAGAGATGGTACAACGAGGGTAAGAATACTAAAACTGAAAAAATAAATGTTAAGTGTTTAATGGAATCATGAACATAGGAAAACATTCTTAGCACTGAAGGAGACTGAGGCAGGAGGATCACAAATCTGAGTCTCCTAGGGCAATTTAGTGAGACCCAGTCTCAAAATAAGAAACAAAAAGGGTCAGGGATGTGGCTCACTGGCAGAGCATCCCTGGATATAATCGCCAGTAACACACACTCAGGCTGTGAAAAAGAATCAAATAGAATTTTTAGAGATAAAAAAACAGTGCCAGAAATGAAGTTTACCAAATGTACAAAACAACAGATTAGACTCCATTAAAAAAGAAATCACCACGGTTGGGGGTTTAGCTCAGTGGTTCTGCTACCTGCCTGGCAAGCACAACAGCCTGAGTTCAATCCCCGGTACCACAAAAAAAAAAAAAAAGAAAAAAAAAATCAGTAGGCCAGGGATTTAGCCCCGTAGCTCTGTACCTGCCTCACAAGTGCAAGGACCTAAGTTTGATCCCCAATACCGCCCCCAAAATCAATGATGTTAAAGCCCTAAGAGAGCCAAGGATTTAGCTCAGTGGTGCCGCCACCTACCTCACAAGCACAAGGTTCCAAGTTTGATTCCCAGTACCAAAAAAAAAAAAAAAAGCCCTGAGAAACTACCCCAGTCCTTCAACAGATGAAAAAATATACAATTTATACAGAAAATGGAGTGCTGCTCAGCAAAAAAGTACAACTCCAGAGAATGAGCCTCAAGAGTATTGCATTTTATACACACACATACATGTGTGTGTATGTGTGTATATTTGTTTTGTTTTGTTTTGTTTTGTTTTGTTTTTTAAAACAGGGTCTCACTATGTAGTTGAGACGGACTTGGAACTCACTATGTGGCCCAAGCTGGTCTCAAACTCACAGCAATCCTCCTGCCTCAGCCTCCCAAGTGCTAGGATTACAGGCGTGCACCACCACACCCAGCTTTTTTTTTTTTTGGTTGAGTATTGTATTATATAACAGGGCTGGGAATGTAGTTCAGTGGCAGACCACTTACTTGGAGTGCACAGGTCTTGAATTCCATCCCTAGCACCCCCAGACACACACACACATATGCACACACAAAGGACAAAACAATATATGCTGACATTTATAATTTCATTTCTTTGAAATTCTTGAAGGTGAAAATCTAATCTATACTGAAGAAATCAGATCAGTGAGTACTTAAGGCCACACTATTCAGGAATTGACTATACTGACTCATGAGGAGTCTTTTGGGCATGATAGATATATTCTTTTTTAGTTTTTTGAGAGAAGGTCTTGCTATTAGTTCAGGCTGGCCTTGAACTCACTGTATAGCCCAGGCTGGCCTCAAACTCAAGACAATCCTCCTGCCTCAGTCTCCCAGGTGCCGGGATTACAGCTATGTACCACCATGACTGATATTCCATTATCTTTATTGTGCTGGTGATTATAAGTGTAGGTCTCACCTGGTCCTACAGTCACCTCCGTAGAATGCTTGTTGATAACTTTAATCTTATCACTGAAGCCATTTTCCTCCACAATCTTTACGGCAGCATCAGCCATAGGCTTGAAAACCTGGAAATTAGAGCCAAACACCCAAGGAAAAATGAACAATAAATTTTTAAATATCCCACTGTTCAAAGTTAGCAAAGCGTTATTTTAGTCTAGCCCTAACATTTTTAATTTCAACGCTTTATTCTCCAAATGTGTATCATGAAAATGAATATAAATGCATGAGATTCAGGTTTAACACTTGGTCAGGAATTCCCATTACACGCCCTGCAAGTGGGGATGCAGGGGATCCCGCACTACCTAGCAAGGGCAGGAGGTGTCACTGCCACACTATGGAGATGCTAAGAGCTACAAAGGGGCCTTGCTTCACAAACCTGGGTACACACTATCCAGAGAAAAGCCATAGATGCAAGTATGGACAGGATCACCTTCACAATCAAAATTGTCCCAGATCCTCACTGCTGGCCGAATACAGCATAAATTTCCTTAGGACACTCAAGGCTATTCAAATGCAAGCCACCTAACATTCCTAACCATACAAGCCCCTATCCCACCCACCAACCCCACGACCAATGCTCAGCCACGCAGATCTCATTATTTACAGACAAGCCTGAGGCTTCCTGTCCTAGGCCCCTCCTCCTCTGGCCAAATCAAACCCAACTTCACAGGGCAGAACAAACCCTATCTTCACCTCTCCAGCTTTTATTTTCCAGTTGCTGTTTAGATTCCACACCTCCAACCATTTTTTGTGCATAAAACATACAAACTCACATGCAGACACACACACAGAGTGGAAATATAACAAACGATGAAGTGATTGGTAAAAATGACAAGATATTCATTTTTTCTAAAATCTTCTGTATTTTCCCCATTTTCTACCATGAAAACAAATTTTTACTAAAATAAAAGGGGAAATGCTACATCTTTTATAAACTACATATAAGCACACCCTCAAAAATTATTCTGAGAATTTAGCTTGATGTTTCTTGATGTGGAGGGCCTCAAACTCTTAGTTCTTAAAAATTACTTGCCTGTACTTCTAAAAATATCACAAGCTCATTCTATCCCTTCATTCCTGCTGCCTTGTGATTTATCACTTTCTTCCTCTCCTGAACCTGTAGGCACCAACTATACAGAGCCCCTTCCCCGCAGCACACCAAGAAGCTTAAACTCTCCCCACAAACAGGGGCCAGGCTGATGGTGCATGCTTGTAATCCCAAATTCAAGCCATGCCAGGGCAACTTAGCAAGACCCTATCCCAATATTAAAAAAGAAAAAGGGCTGGGAATGTAGCTCAGTGAAAAGGCCCTGGTTTAATTCCCAGTACTGAAAAAGTTCTCCCCCTAAACACTATGAGGAATGGCTTCTGAAGTTGACTTCCCAACATCCACTCTCCCCTCAGGTCAAATGCAGTGACAAAGTGAGAGCAACTGACCTTGTAGTCAAGTGTTCCAACTCTCTAGTCAAGGGGAATTGAATCCCTCTTAACAATTCTGGCCAATATACCCAAGAGTTTTTCTAGAAATTTCTGGGGAAAGCCTGCTTGCTCTTCAAAAAGAGAAACTGAGACAGCTAGGTGCATGCTTTCCTGTTTTAGTATGTCTCCAGTGGCTCTTAGAACTCTTCTTACTACCATTAATGGTGCCAGCTTTGGAAGGATGTGAACAGCAGAAAGAGAGAAATTTAGGGTCTCATTATACTTCTAAAGGATTCAATTCTTTGTGTGTGTGCGTGCATATGTGCGTGTGTGCATGTGTGTACTTTGGACCCAGGGATCGAACTCGGGCCCTTGCACTTGTGAGGCAGATAATGGCACCACTGAGCTAAATCCCCGGAACCTAAAGGATCCAATTCTGAAGCCAAAAGGAGACCTGGACTTCTTGACCAGTCCTTCTCTATGCCAGTCTGAAATGGTTTTCAAGGCACTTACTAAAGAAACCAATGTAACTGACAGACCTACCCAAATACCCACTCCTTTCCAAATGTATTAAAAGCAGTCCACAGTCATAGTTTGCAATGACTTGCAATCCATCCACTTCTGAATCCTACTCCCTACTGAAAATATCACCTGAAGGTTATCCATTCATCACCTGCTGCCAACCCAACAGCTTTCCCTTGGTCCTCATATTATAGACAGCTAAGTCAGACAGAAATTATTAATATAGTCAGAGTGAAACTGAGCCCACAAGGAAGTCAGCACAAAAAATAAAGATATCAAGATTGTAGCTAGAGCCGGGTATGGTGGTGCACACCAGTAATCCCAGCACTGAGTAGGCCAAGGCAGGAGGATCACAGCGAGTTCAAGGCCAGCCTGGGCTATATCGAAGTTCAGAGCCAGCCTGAACTACAAAGTAAGACACTGTCTTAAAAAAAAATTGTAGCTAAAGGCACAAGGTAGAGACACAATGGCTAGGCTTGGCTGACTCCCTAAGACATAAACAACAACTTGAGTTTATACTGGATGTAATTAGCACCTGATCCAGCAAGTCCAGATAGGCATCGGCTGCCCAGGTGGGTGATCACAGCATCTGGACCCGTCCCTTTCAAAAAGTGCCTTTGTTCTTTCCCTTGCCACATGATTCATTTCCCACATACTGCATCAATATTAGCTAAGCAGCTATACCTGTAATCCTATGAGTCAGTGGTGGCAAACCTATGGCATGTGTCTCAGCTGTCTGTTTATTATCATGGAAAGCTCTAAAAGGTTTGCCATCACTGCTATATGTTGATAGTTTGACCCAAATTGTACCCATGCTGTGACTTTGCTGACAAAGGGCCTAGTGGCCACCCATTCAGGACCTCTCCTGGAAATCTAGGAGCTATTCTCCGTATTTGTTTTTGTTTTGTTTTGTTTTTATTTTGGTGCCGGGGATCAAACTCAGGACCTTGCACTTGTGAAGCAGGTGGCAGAACCACTGAGCTAAATCCCCAGCCCCTCCTTATTTCTAATAAAACTCTTAACTTTTTCCTTTGGCCCTTGTCTTCATTCCTTGGTGATGTGAGACCATGAACTTGGCACATTTGGAACCTACCAGATTGGGAGATATATTTCTCCTCTATCTCTCATCCAGCCCAAGCTCTACACCCATGGTATACAACAAAGACAAAACAGCTATTTAAATGTGAATTATGAAATGGAATATAATAAAAAATTCAGTTCCTTGACCTGGGCATAGCGACACACACTTGTCATCTCAGCCCTCAGGAGGCTGAGACAGGAGAATCACCCTGAGTTCCAAGCCAGCCTGGGCTACATATTTTCATTTCATTTGTTTATTTGGTTTTTTTTTTTGGTACCAGGGATTGAACTTGGGCCCTTGCGCTTGCGAGGCAGGCAGCGGAACCACTGGACCAAATCCCCAGCTGAGCTATGTATTAATTTCAAGATGAGCCTGAACTACACAGTGAGATGCTATCTTTCTTTCTTTCTTTCTTTTTATTTTTTTGGTACAAGGGATCGAACTCAGGCCCTTGCGTTTGCAAGGCAGGCGGCAGAAACACTGAGCTAAATCGCCAGCCCAAAAATGCTATCTTTAAAAAAAAAAAAAAAAAAAAATT